ATAACTGGGTCGGAAACGCATACGTTAACTCGGAGATATAGCACACCTCGGTTGTGTTGCTGCGTTATCGAAAATGTTATCCTGAACTGTTAAATCGTCATAACGTGGGCCGTTTAAAATAGCATTTATAAAACAGCACAGGGCTGATAGTGTAGATTTTTTATCACCAATATTTTTTGTATTGTATATAAAAGCTAGAAATTACGTATTTTTTTATTATGTGAAAACTTTTACGATTTGTAGATAAAAGACTAGAATTTAATATTTTAACGCTTTCGTTTACTTTAATAATTTAATATAGAAATGGTGTTGACGTCGTGCTGACACAAAAAGTATTAAAAAATTTGCTATAATTCACGTTTTTTGTTTGTAAATTTTTTTCTATTTACGACATTTCAAAGCAAGTTCTGAGGGTTCTAAAAGATCAAAAACTTAAATTTGCTCTTCCTTTTGCCCCGGCTGGTAGAACGCACTACCCATATGTTTTTCATTCTTTTGAAAGTCCTTAGCTTCTTCGCTCATAAGTGTATTACAATTTTGAGCATGTAAACTAATTTCTACGTCTTTGCAACGCAAAAACGATTTTCTTGTCGAAAGATTCTACAAAAAACCGTTTTCGAAATATCTCGACTTAAAATAAGTTTTGTCAAAAAATCAATAGTAAATCAAATATATAAGTGAAGTTTTTACACTCTGTAGCTCGATCTGGGAGGTCTTTCGGGGCCAGGCCTATATGGACTATTTATCTTGAACACATCTGGGAAATCACCCTTAGAAATATCGGCAAGTTATTAAAAATATCGGGTTCCGAAAAATTTCGTTGTCCAATTAAATCAGTAAGTCAGAATCTATTGGTTGGCAGTTGGGGTGAGTTTTAATGAATAAACCACTAGTTTTTCGTGCGTGGTGGTTTATGAAAGAAAAGTTCTTCAAGAAATGAACAAAGGAGTTTTTGTTGCCCAATCGTGCATCACAAAGACTTTTAAAACATTTAATGTGCCATCACGCCGAAAACGTCAATCTGTATATTCTCACGACAATCTTCTTGATCACCCCGTGTTCATCCATTGTCGGATATAGGCCTCTTCCAGGTTTTTCCATGTCCCGCCATCTCCTGCTAATCTCATTCATTGTTCTCCTACCACCGTTATGACATCGTCGATCCATCTCTCTTGGTCTCCAGAGTGCCATTTTCTGGGTCCATCTATCTCGGTCCTATCTTGCCACATGTCCGATTCTTTTCAACTTCTGGCTTGCCACTCTTCTCACAACTGTATATATATAATAGCAAAATACCATTTTTCAACACGAATCGTTGACGGAATTGGTTGCGTAATGCAAATAGCTTCTGATTTTTGTTTCGTGACGCGGAAGCCAACGCGAAAATAAACAACCATCACAAAGAAATTCGTTGTGCTTCGTTGCCATTCTTTCTCTTCGCGGCTTTCCTTTAAAAGTTCTCCTGCTTAACTGCGTTTCTTCCTAGTTATTCATTCAACGCAGATTGTGCTCAAATCGTCTAATGTTATTCTTGGCTAATTTGGAATAGCAAACGTATAAAATGAAGTTGCAATTGAAAGATGTTTTCGAATAGCTGTCGAGAACAACGCTTATACGATGACCCAGAATATGGAGTTGATTGCATGATCACTGCTTAATTATTGACCAAAGCTCGAGAAAGCGCCTGCTAAAGTACCCCATTCATTATATAAGCACCGGATTTATTCAAAATTTAATTGAAACATGTTATTGCCGAACATAATAATACTATTCAATTTGCAATGTCTGCAAATTTATTCAAATCCACGGAAAAACTTTAATTTGGATTGGGATATATGTAAAAGTTGACGAATAACTGAATTTTCCCAGTTAACTAAACATTTGACTTTTAGCATTTACAGACCAGAGTTGCTTTTATCTTAATTTTCTAATTCATTTATAAAATTTCATTAGCTTTAACTAGCAAATAGACAAAAAACTAAAGACCGTAATATTTCTACTTGATTATGATAAAGGCATTTTCAAGTTACAGGGTGCCTCATAAAAGCGCCACTGGCACCAAAGTTGACACACAAACTTACTGTTTATTTTTTAATTTTCTTGTAAAAACTGGCCTTTGCAAGAGATTTTTGGAAACCGATTTACCAGAAATGGAGAGAAACAACGTTGCAACGGGCGTCTGTTCTCGTACTCTGAAGCTTCATTGGCTGCTCGAATGTATTTTCGAAAAATAATTAAAATTTCAGTATGTAAATTGATTGTTACAATTTTATTCAGTAGACAATATAATTTTCTTGAGACCTTGGTGGAAAGTACAAAAAAGGTAAAAGGTGTGGTAAATAGTTTGTAATCTGTAAAAGCCATGCTTTAGGCTGCCACTGGGTGCCCAACTTACGCAGTGGCCAAACTTTGACTTTCGTGCCTTGACCGTTATATACTATTTTTAACTAAAATTTGTTTGGTATCTTATTTTGCCTCTTGCGTGATTAAAATTTATTTTATAGTGACATGAGAAAGTTCGAAAATTGGTTATTAGAAGACTAAGTTGTAATATTTTATATTTTAAATGAATCGAAATATAATATGTTCGAATAACAGATGCAGAATAGGAACTCAAATAAATTTGCGTAAATAAAAATATGGTGTTAAAAAAGCTCAGTTTTAATCGATTGAAATTCTCGGCCTTTGATAATTTGTAGAAAACAAACATGCCATGCAAATGAAACTTTGTGGTTAAAAAACATTAATTTATTCCTCTAAGCAGCCTTCTGCCAGACAGATCGCTATCTTTTACTGTTCCTGGGAAAATTATTTTCAAGTTTCAGTTTTTTTAATTTTAACTTGGCCATGGGAGTTATATTTTGCTAATCATCTCAAAAGGAAAAATATCACTGCAGTTCGACCGTTGATTTTTTAAGAGCACTCTGTAAATAAATGAGACTACCGAAATATTCAAAAAGTTTTTTTTGAGATACTAGGTTTATCTTAATGCCTCTGGTGTTGAAATACAAAACAAACGTTTTTTATCCAACTTACACAATCTAAATTTGAAAATTTTGCCTAAGCACTAATTTTTATGCAAAAACACACTGACTGAGAAAGAATTGCACTAAAGAACGCTTCAACCAGAACTAGAATCCCGGGCAGGGATAAGAAATTGTCCAGTTCCAAAGTTGCTCCAAACTAACCAGTGTAACGTTAGATTTGTTGGGCAATTTAGATGGTTTCTTTTCAGACTTTATTTCGCAAAAGCAAAGCAGACAGAAACTACAGTTTTATACGGAAATAAATATAATTTTTCTCTTTTTAACCCCGCAAAACTCGACATTTAGAACGTCTAGTCTTAATTTAGAAGGGCTTGTGAGATGAGAAAACTCTCGTTTATTCGTAGATAGATGGACTTATTCCATACAAGAAAAGCAAACAAAACCACCGTTCAGTCTGGAATTACAGATACATCTTTACTGTTTAGGTCGTGCTTTAACCACGCAGACGTACTTATTCAACACTTTAATTAGCAAAATAAATGAAATAGAAACCATAGTTCAACACGGAGTTATAGAGCCATTTTCGCTGTTTAAACTGTGAACAAATATATTTGAAACGTGCATTATTCATTCAAAAAC